GAGGTAGATACTGTTGTGCTAATTTTCTCTATGAGCAAACAAAGGAGAATGCCTTTAAATGGAAGCTTCCCAAGCGACACAGCCAGTAATTGCTGGGACTGGATTCTACCCAGACAGCCTGCTCCACAGTCTTTGTGGCTTATTTCCGCCAATATTTAAATAAGACCGAGGAAGGCAGGAGGAAGGAGCCCTTTGAAGAGCTGGGAATAAGAAACTGCAAGAGCCACTGCATTTTGGAACAGTCATGTGCTAGGGGGCCCATGCTAAAACCTTTTGGATTGTAAACAATGAATCCGCAATTGCTTACCTGAAATTCCGAAGAAATGACTTGAATATTGGGGAATGTAGTTCTTTAAGGTGCATCTAAAATTTATAGCCAGGGAAAGGACCCATTGTGGCAATTAGTTTAGTTCAGGCTTGAACATCCTTTGCCCTACTTACTAAGTTTCTAAGGCAGGAAGGTGTGAAATTTTGAGTGTGCTTCAATGATCAAAATGACTGTATCAATTCTATGTGCTTCCCATACTTATCAGCCTAATGCAAGTCACCAAATGCCAGATCTCGTGGAGTGATAATTTCATTGATTTTCTTCCTATAGAATAGACTTTAATAAGGATATCATCTTAATTTTGCAAGCTCTTTTTGATTCATATTTCCCTCTTCTCTCACCTTCAGACAGGAGCTAATTAAATAACCTGTTTTGTGCTTAGTAATTGAGCTTCAGTATTATTTTAAGTGCTTCAGTCTAAATGAGAAAGATATTAGGAATTTTCACTCTCATGGAAATTAAGAATGAATGGGCATTAATTGCTGAAGAATAAGATCTCAGCCGCTAATTTTGTGATAAAATATTCCAAGACAAAGCATTTGTCATTTCTATGAAGATCGACTAGACAAGTTGGAATAAATCGAAAAACCAAGCAAAAGGCATAGTTGCTGGAAACTTGAGGGATAGATGATGATGCTGGAATTTCTGTATCCCTGGCTTTGTTTCCACTTTCTGAGGCAGCAATTTTATGTGATGTTTGTCTTCAGCTGTGTCTTACTACATTCCAGTCGAGTCAATATTTCATTAGGTCTGTGACTTGACATACCAAGGGAGGTAATTCTTTTGGTCAGTTATTTTGGCACATAAGCATTTGGAGCAGGGCCCTAAAGCAGCTGCATTTTTAAATGATTCTGTACAGAATCCCACTGATACAAATTTTTTGATTCTTCATCTTTGCTTCTGCAAGGTGGTATTGATACCTTTTTGATAGAGTTGGTACCTCACCTACCTCTATTTCTATTTTTATTTTTTATTTCAGTAAATATCATATATGAGTATAATCTATGCATTATTTCCATCCCTCCCAGTCCTCTTCCAAATCATCCCATGCCCCCCTTACTCCCTCTCAGTTTCTTATCTTCTTCTTTATTAATGTTACATCACACACACACACACACACACACACACACACACACACACACATTGCATTGAGTTCATTTAGTGGTGCTCCTATGGCCCTGTGCCTATTATTATTATTTTATAAAGAGGGTTGCCTATAGCTTACACTGTCCTCATGCTCACTAAATACCTGCCATACTCCCTGGACTGAGAGAGACTGTTTGTGGAGCCCACCTGCCTCCTTTAAGGGTATAGATAACTCACCCACCTGACTGAGCAAATAATCTTCAGAAAAGAGACCCTCAAGGACCCCAGACCCTGACCCAGGGTTAATTCTTGTAGCTATGTGCAGCAGAGTTCCTATATAAGACCAGACTGATCCCCCTTCAGGGCACAGATAATCATTCCTCCAGGAAAAGCTATCAGCCCTTTGCTGGGCTTCCTGAATTCAGGGAGCACATTCCTTGCCTGTTGCAAGTCTGGCTCTGATTCTTATTTCTAAACTTTAAACTCCCTCCTTTTCTGTCCTCCTAAATCTAACAATGGCCATGCCTTGTTTAATGCAGTACTAGATATTGAACCCAGAGCTTTGTGAATACCAGGTAGGGACTCTACCAATTGAGGCTGAGTTACATCTCTATATTATGTGTATTAAAATGCATGTTAATCCAATGCCATAATTTAACCTTTGTCGTGTTGGAATCATGAGGCTGGAGTACAGCAGAGTGTGATGAAGGCTATAGTCTTGGCTTGACTGGCTTGTGAGTAGGGTGGGGATGGCAAACTGACTGGCCTATGTACAGAATATATCATATGACTTTTACTATAGAGAAATGGGACAAAAACCAGAAAACATAATTCTTCCTGTTGCCAAGGGAGAGTCATGCTTCTAGCTTTACAGATAACATGCAAAATACAATCCTTGACATTTTCTCTATAAGTCTCATCCTTAAAATGTGGTCAACAGCATTCCTGTGTTCTCAGCTGCTCTGCCAGACACCCGTGTGTCATTCTTGATTTTCTTCTCTGTCATCTCTCATACCCAAATGCATTGGTAAATGCTGGTACTTTGACCTGCAAACTCTACCCTGAATATTTTTCTGTCCTCTGCTAGTCTTACCTCAGGTCACCAGCATTCCCCAGCCAAATAACTGCAAGAACATTCTCATTAGATATACAGCTTATAATCTTACTTTTAGAAGTTTATTTTCACATAGCAGCTAATTAGTCTTTTTCAAAACAGTCACTCCAGGCATACAAACCTCTAAGAGGTTCTCATTGTACTTGAAATAAAATTCAGTGTTCTCTCTGGTCTTTATGTCTGACCCCTGATCTTCCAACTTCAGAATTCTCTGTACCTTCATCTCTATGCTCTAACCACACTCCTGTCCTTTTTGTTCAGAACATGTGAAGGTTTTTCTTTGTTTTCCTTCCTTACCTCAGGACCTTTGCAGGTGATGTCAGCTCAGCCTGCCTCTGATCCTCTCAGGACTGACTCCCTACCACTCCAGCCTCAGCTATATGCCCATCTTTAGAAAGGATTTCCATGGCAGCCATTCTATAGTAAACACCTGCCACACAAAGCTTGTATTTTTATCATACTATTCTATTTATTACTCTATAAAGCAAACTGAAATTTGTTTTTATCATTGTTTCCTTGTGTCTCTGTACTGCCCAGGAGCATTAGACAGGGGTCTGCTTGTTCATTTTACTGGAACACAGAGACATAGCTGTTATACAGCAAATGCTAAATAAATACATGTTAAATGGATGAATAAACAAAATGACTAAAAGCTAAATTTCTAAAAACTTCCATAGTGTGGTTTTATATATTATATCTAAAGAGCTACTTTGCCTATACCTACCTTGCCTCTGCAAAGAGGGATAGAGTAACCTGGAGCATAGTTTAGTGGAAGAGCAGTTGCCTACCATTTGCAAGGACCTGAGTTTGAGCCCTGGGGTTGCAAGAAAATAGAGGGACAGCATAATATTTTGGGGAAATAGGAGTCAAGGTTTTTTACATTAATTCAAGTAACAGGTGCATTTGCATAATGAGAAGAAACATGGCAAAGGTTTTAAAAAGCAGGCTCTAAAGGCAGGGTGTTGTGTGAGAATCTTATTTATGTGGCTTTGGGATTCATTATTTAACATATCTTAGTCCTAGTTTCTTTAACTGTGGAGTAAGGTATTCCATAGGTTTGTAAATGAGTTAATTCATGTACAGTGCCTAGAACAGAATGAATGTCCAATAAATGTTTATTTTTAATACTCTTGGCTGATGGTTTCCTCCCTGTGTGATATGATCTTATCATTCCTGTTCAAATGTGTCTAAGAAGGGAAGGGGATGATGAAAGAATAGAAACCTAATCTATCAACCATGAATCTTTAGCTCTTCATACCAGTCCCTCCAGGAAGGCTTAATTATGGCTTTGTTTTCATTCTTCAAAGACCTATTTAAATATTTTATCTATTATTTTTATTTTATGTGTATTGCCTGCATGTGTATATGTACCCATGTTGTGCAATGACTGAGGTCTGAAGAGGGCATCAGATCCCCTTGAACTGGAGTTAGGACAGTTGTTAGTCTCCATGTAGATGGTAGAATTCGAACTCAGGTCCTCTGCAAGAGCAGTCAGTGCTCTAAACTGCTGAGTCAGTTCTCCAGTCCCACAAACAACTATTTACCAAGACTCTTCTATTCACTAGATTCTATGCTGGACAGCAATGTACTTTTAAGTGACACACACTGGTTGGAGCAGCATGACAAAGCATTCTCAGGGACATAGTAATGTGCTTCCTTGGAGTTTAAAGAGAAGTTGCTTGCTCTAGCATGGGTGGGAACAAGGCATAGGGAGGGCTGGCTTCCTGGGAAAAAGTCGTATTTCTGAAGAAACTGAAAGAAACAGTGCAAGTCAGGTATGCAAGTCATCGTTTTAGACTAAAGAAGAGGATTTCAGGACAAGGGAATAACATACCTTAAAACCCACAGTTGTTTTCCAACTACAGGTTACCTGTAGAACTTGGCAAACGCTATCTTTTAAAAGCACACAGTGGCATAGACTATGCTGTTAGGATATTTAGGTAAGTAAAGTAAGGTTCATATGTTTTCTTTAAATACTCTCATAATGAAATCGGGAATTAAAACTTCTGTCTCAAATGAGCTTTGGAATTTCTGTATTTCACTATAAGGTAGGAATGGAGCCATCACTATTATAAATCCAACAGTTATTTGGATAATTTAAAACTACTTTCTGGACCCTGAATACTAAATAACACAGAATTGATTAATAAGCTAATTGTTCAACCTCTCACTTCGTTGTGCCTGTGTATACAATTTAAGTAAGAGAGAAATAAGAAATAGATTCTTTTGTTATTTATAGTCACCTAAATCCACATTCCATTCCTGTTGAGATTTGCAATTAGATTTCTAATTAGTTTTCCTAAATGGATTCACAGGTTTATTTCTTACACAAGTGGAAAAAAAATATGGGTACCAAATATAGAAAGTATTAAACTTTAATTTAAAGCTTCATGTATCAATAATATAATAACTTTCTATACACTGCCTTTGATCCCCATAAACAGAATTGACAATTCTATGTAGGCAACTCACCATCATTTCTTAGTATCAGCGGTGTGGGTGGCCCCAGGACTTTGTGATTCGTCACAGTATTGGTAACTACACAGGTATAATTCCCAACATCTGATTTTTCTACTTTGGCAATATACAGATTCCCAGTCTCTTGAGAAACGAAGCGACGATTATCCTGATAAGATGGGTACTCATTGAAGATCCAGGCATAGCTCAGCTCTGAAAGTAAAAGAATCATCATTACAGATCTGTCCTTTGGCCCTGGGACTTTACTGTATTTAGAACAGAAATGATCAAGTGAAAAATTTAGATTGCAGAGGGAGGCGGATCTCTGTGAGTTTGAGGCCAGTCTGGTCTCCATAGTGAGTTCCAAGTCAGCTGGGGCTGCAGGGAGACCCTGTCTCAAAGACAAAAACAAAACAAAACAAAACAACTTAGATTGCTACTCCAAGATGTTTGTTACCCTGTAAAATATAAAGAAGATACACTGATGGTCGATTCAGAAGGGTCCAGCCTCTCTAAATCAAAGGAATGAACAGTGCAACGTGAATTAAACAGATGCTCATATTGAAGGCCCAGAGAGCACAAAGCCTTAACATGGTGATGTGAGAAGCCATGCTGGAAACTACAGATCATCTCCCCATGGCAGACAGTGATCTTTGCAGTGCGCGTGGTGTCACATGCTTGCACAATACTCTGTGCTTTCCAATGCATTTGATCATTTTTCATTAACTCAGAAGCTTTGACACAAAGGAGTGAAGTAATGAACTCAGACTTTTTATTTTGAAGAATTTCATACATGAACATTGTATTTGCATCATTTCTATCCCCCCATGTTCCAGCCCAACACCTCCAATGCCCCCCAACTCCCTCTCAATTTGTCCTCCTCTTTGATTACTATTATTACATTAGATACATTTATAATACCATTGCATATATATTTTATATATATATATATATATATGCATGTATACATAATGCACTGAATCCATTTAGTGGTGCTCATATATACCTGTGTTTCAGGATGTCTACTTAGGATTAGATAACATCTATGAACTCAAACTCTTAATTCTAATTAGAGACAGAATAATCCTTGAGACTCAATCCATTCTTTATCCAGCGTCTTCCCCTCTCAACCCATATTCTACACTCTTCTTATAAGACTGAATATGTCTCCAAAATTTTAGTGAAATAGCAGTCAAATACCGCAGTTTTTACTCACCAAACACACATTGACTGACTAGTTAATCATTCCACAAATATAAATCTGTTCCTCAAAATATAGTTGAAAATATATACTCATAAGAACTTACCCAAGAATTCATTCTAGTAAATGTAAGGAGCAGTTCTACCTAGAAATGGTCTGAAGACCATTCTTGGTTTTCTTAAGACTTAGGTAAATGTTTTGTGAATGAATACATGAGCCTATCCTTTCAAATTCAAAGAACCCTAAATGACAGTGAATTTCTCTAACAGCCATCATGCTGCAAAGATGTCAAACTTCTTTGGTTCCAGGCATCTACCAGGCCTCTGTGTGAAGTGTGAACTCCAGATATGTCCAGAGCCCAGAAGTAACATACTGGCTACTGATTGTTATTAGCCAAAATTACTTTTATTTTTAAAAAATTACTTATTTTGGGAGGAAAGAGAAACCTAAATAGAGAATCCCTAGTTTTAGAAATATGTGGCTGAGTTTCTATGCCATTCTTTAATGTGATCCTGGTTAAATTCGAAATGCATGAAGTGTCCTTGGAAAATGGCAGAAAGGCCACTTGAGTTTTGTAAAGAGAACACTAATTACTGTGAAAGGTATTTTTGCTGTTTAATCCTTCAATGAGTCCCAACAGTAATTGACCTCAACCACTGAATGTGCAACAAGAAACATGTTTTGCCTTAATAACCCATTGTTGACATACAAAGGAGGGGTCAGGCAGACTGCTTTTCCTTTATCCCAGAATTACAGCATTTCTGCATACATTATTTTAGAGAGATACAATTACGCTTACGAGAGAAGCTAATCATTTTATGCATAAGCATGTAATTAGAAGTAACCCTATCCTGATGTCAAGAGTGCTTCTCAGTGTTATGTAGCTGTTTCCTCCCATTTGAAACATTCCATCCCAGAGGAAAGCTTGTTAAGACTCACAAGACTCACAAAGTAAGGAAATTTCTAACTCTCTAGGAAGTTCCTGAAACTTACCAGACTCTCAAGGCCCTCCCCAGAGCTATATAAGCCAGAAGGAATGTGGAGAGGAGACTCTGACCTGTGGAGCTGCCTGTAAGGGATCCAGGGATAGAACTTTTTTGAGTGGCCACCCATATAGGGTGAACTTTTCAGAGATGCAGCTGCTTTTGAGTCGCCCATGTTCTTGTAAGTAACCCTTGACCCATACTCCTCTAACTACCCCAATAAGCTTATTACTTCTTGACACTAGACTTGGGTGAATTACTTCTTTGGTCTATCATTAGTGATTTATCTGAGGTGAATTGGGTTGTTGTTTTCTGTTTTGCTTTGCATCTGCCCAGGAAATGTCACACAACACTCAGAAACTAAAATCTGGGTTAGGAAAAACCCAGATGATAGGTCATTAGGAAGCATAATCTGGCATGGACACCTTCCAGTAAGAGCAAGATTTGAAAACGATAGCATGGCAGACAGTGAACCCTGTGCTCAGCTCTACAGGAGTTTCAGACAAACCCTGTCCTCTCAGTCCCTCAGTTTTCTCATTTGGACAAGAGCAGGCCACTCTCTACCCTCTAATTAGCTATGAAAGAAGTTTAAGTATAAACTAGTAGCTTCAAAGCCATAAGGTAGAAGTAAAAAAGTAATTTACTAGAACAATAGTAATCAACTCACAGTTCTCCAAGACAGTTGCAATCAAACATAGGAAACCGTAATCTACCCCCAGGAAACTGTTATCCACCCCCTGCTCTCCCTGTTCAATACATCTTTCAAAACTGTTAACAGTAGCTGTGAAGGCCTCTGAACTCTAGAGGAGGAGTCTAACAACCAGAAAGCAGAAATTAGAAGAAGGCCATCTACTCTGGTATTTTCTAGTCAAAGGGAAAGCATCTAGTAGACAAACACACTAAAGTTAAAATGTAAACCTGGGATTAGAGAGATGGCTCAGCTGTTAAGAGCACTGGCTGCTCTTGCAGAGGACCAGGGTTAGGTTCCCAGCACCCACATGGTGGGTAACAACTGTCAAAAACTCCAGTTCCAGGGGATCCAGTGTCCTCCTCTGACCTCTGAAGGCATTGCACGACACGACTGCACTTCCATACATGCAGGCAATACAGTCATACACATAAACTATAAATAAAACATTCAGGTTATGTGTATGAGTGCATTGCCTGCATGTCCTGCAATGCTGCGGAGGTCAGAGAGGGCTTTGAATTCCTCTGGATTTGGAATTAAGGGTGGTTCATAGCCACTTTGTGGGTGCTGGGAATCGAACCTGGGTCCTCTGCAAGAGCGAGCAGTCAGTGCTCTTAACCGCTGAGCCATTTCTCCAGGCCCAAATAAAATATTTTTTTAAAAACATTTTGTTAGGCATGATGGTGCACGCCTTTAATCCCAGCACTCAGGAGGCAGAGGCAGGCAGATCTCTGTGAGTTCAAGGCCAGCCTGGTCTACATAGTGAGTTCAGGACAGCTGGGGCTACAGGGAGACCTGCCTCAAAAAGACCAAAAAAAATTTTTTTTTGTTATGTAAACCTGTGTTACATAAGGGAAGTCATTTAAAGTCTCTTTCCTTCAACTTCTTTTTTTAAAAAATATTTATTTTTAATTGTGCATGTGTGTGTGTGTGTGTGTGTGTGTGTGTGTGTGTGTGTGAGTGCAGTGCTGTGGAGGCCAGAAGAGGAGGTCAGATCCCCTATAGATGTAGTTACACTTGTAACTCCAATATGGGTACTGGGAATTAAACTTGTGTCCTCTGCAAGGACATGCTTTTAATAACTGAACCATCTCTCCACTCCTGCTTTGAACTTCTTAATCCAGAAATTGGTGATAATTTGAATTGGAATACAGGAATACACATTGATAATGACTGTATGGATAAATTGTTGAATCATGTCGGAGGACTGTAGAGATTTTGGTGACTAACCTGTTCTTCGTCAACTTATTATAAAAGTAAAAATATTTATTTTATTAATATTTTTAATTAGCATACAAATTAATGGGTTTCTTGATGCCATTTTCATACATATATGTCATTATCGTTTGCTCATAATTAGCCCCCTCCCACAATGCCCTCACATTTCCCTGTCTCCCTTTAAAATGTGTGTTCAGTAGAGCTAGGGATGTAGACCAGTTGGTAAAGTGCTTGTGCCTGGTGTAGTGGTGTACTTCTTATCCCAGTACCCAAGGTCTGGAAGAAGGAGGATCGGTAGTTCAAAATTATCTTCAACAAGCTCAAGTCAAGCCTGGAATTCATGAAACTCTGTCTCAAAAAAAAATGTATTTAGCTAACACACCATTTGATTTATTTATGAATAGGTTAATTTCTTTCCTTTCATTGTGTTTGTGACTTAAGTGCTTTTGTGCTTTCATAGGAGACACAAATAGCTCTAAGTGCACACTGCAGCATTTCCCAGAGTGTGGTGCTTGAATAGAGCTCCTGGTTCTCTATGCTCACCACCCCCAATTCAAAAGCTCACATGATCAAGGGCCTTGGTAAACTTCTTCGTCTCAGGACTGGCAAGATACTTTAATAAACAAATAGCCTTTGACATATTCTAGACAGTGTTTACTCACCCAAAAGTATTTGTATTTGATCATGCAATGACTACTCTCATCTTTTGCATACCCCCTGCACATAGATACACACACACGCACACACACACACACACACACACACACACACATTTCCACACATGGAAAATTTTCCTAAAACAGTATCTCACAAAACTTAGCTTGGAGAAAACCAAATTAATTCAATTAGCTCAATTACAAAATAGTATAATAAAAAATTATTTAATATATTCATTTAGCATTGGGAAAGCTATTATGTAACATTAAATAGCACAACATGAAACAGCAGACTATAACAGTAATGCAGTAAACTTTTCAAGATACTAGAAGAAAAGATTCTGAAAGTTTTTATCACAAGGAAATGATAAACCTTTGAGGAGATAGATGAGGTCAACCTGATTCAAATTTTATGTAATGCATATATGCCTTGAAGTTTCATTCTGCTGCATTAGTTTGCATAATAT